AACAGCACTTCTGCTGAACTTATATATGCGCAGTTTGCCCTGGCTATCATCAGCCAGTTATCCTGTCGCATGCTGAATGTCTTACGCTGGATGATTATGTCTATTCTGGCTGTGGCTCTGAGTGTGGTCTCAAGCATGTCAAGTGGAAAAAACACCGAAAGTCTGCCAGCAAGCCATCCAGTGAAGGTTTGCCACAAATGAAAAGGAATGCACAAAATGAAACAAATTTAGAAAAAGCAAAGTCTCCCTGGACATTTGGCCAGCTAACTGCAAGCATTATTGATAAGGCTTTCCATAGAAAATTTCCTCATCTGTGTATAGTGATGTGCAGGCCTGGCTTGGGCTCAAAGCCCACAGTTGGGCTTGTGGCGATGCCAAGCTGAGTCCTGAGTCTGAGCCAAGCCTGAGCCTGGCCCAAGCCGTAGGCTTAAGCCCGGGCTTGCCAAACTTAGGACAAGTATTTATATGCTACAAAAGTGAGCATATTTGTATGTAATAGGCTGCTATTGCATGCACCCACTGTACTGCAGCCTTCAGAGAGCATGCAATCGTGCTATAAGCCATGTTATGACAAGGTTCACGAAGGGGCACCTACGGTGAATGCCAGGCGATGGTGCACAATTGCGCCTAGTCACACTAGCAGGGACTGCCCAGTCTGGTAAGTCAACATTTTGTCTTGTATGTGTATATAAAGCCATTCTTACCATGTTTTGAGCCCAGGGAACAGCAACACATTTGGTGCACCCAAGCCTGGGCTTTTGGGCTGGGCTTGGGCTTGACTACGCTCCGAGCGCGGCCTTGAGCCCACTGCCAGGCTTGGCTCGGGTCAGGCTTTTTGAGCCAGGTTTGGCAGGCTCGCGGGCTTTGAGGCCCGGCCCGCACATCACTATCTGTGTAAGTCAACAATATTTTATTTTGTCCCACCTGGTTAACATATATACATTTGGGCACTCAGCTGAAGAGGTTAATGACTCTTCAGACATTCATTGGCAGACTCTTGCCTACCATTCCAAGACAGTCAAAATGATGGAACTCTGAAATGAGTGGTTTGCACTGCATGAAACGGGAAGTTACGCAGTGGCATAACCTGAGCGTAACATGTGGATTACATCCAGGTTCTTCTCAGATCACACCCAAATTGTGACATAGGTGAATCTCATGGTAATTGCACAATTATGAAAGGATTACAGTCAGATTTTGATGGGATTTCACTCAGATTACACCTGAGCGTAATTTCTGTCAACGTGAGAGGTTATCCACTCATGTGTCATTACATAATCCAGTATGTTGAGATTTGGTAATTTTATTAAATGCTGCCTCTCCTTGCTCACTGTGACACTGGCCATTTATCTCGTTATCACACCAACAGAATCAGGTCTAAATCATGTCTATTGAATATCTAAAAGTACAAGATAGGCTGCGTGCAACATGACAAGTTGATGGGTGCATGCGTGGGAGGTGTGGGTATCTACTTGACGCCGCGTTGCTGCCTCACTTGATTCTTGCATTAAATATTCTTGAACATGGGCACGCACATCTGCAGATGCACCTGAGGCTATGGCAGTAAATGAAAGAGAGCACGAGGATAGCCAGGGAGATATGCACCTACACTGGGCAACAAAGTGACCACTGCTGCAACCACCAGCATCTGGCAAGTGCATCAGTGATGTCATGCGCTTTGAAGTCCAAGGATGACACTCACCTTGTGCTGACACAGGTGTTGCCCACTCATTGCATTCATCCTGAGGTGTCATGAGAACAATAACAAGATATAAGGGACTCGGCAGTGTGTGCACCAGAATATACCATGGAAGAGATACTTGTGGCGATAGACTTCACGCAAGCCTGTTGTGGGGGCACATCAGCACATGCTACCGTTTACAGACTAAAACTACTTACAATATGCACGGCAGCACTGACCACCTTGTCGAACAACGTGTCAGGCTGTGGATATCAGTTAGCAAGACATGTCAGGTAACAACAAATTATGTACCAGCGTGTGTTTGGGATAGCAACAGTACGGACAATACACGGTGATGCAGAAAACAGTGAGGCACTTAGCAAGAAAGGAAGGGTAATGAGGGAGTGTGATTAAGTGGTTAAGCGCACGCAGAGAGCACTATCGGTATTTATGTCGGGCACAAATGATTACTGACGAATGGATAACTTATCAGAAATATATTTAAGGAGAATAGGGGAGCTCTGCTCTGCATGAACGCTCGCCAGTGTAGTCTGGGTGGAATCTGAGCGTAGCCCAGGCATTACGACGAGATTTCGCTGCCAGCGTAATCTAATCGTAACAGGCGCAGAATTTGGGAGTTATCTCAGACTACGCCGAAGTTACGCTTCGGCATAACTTGCCGTTTTGCGCAGTGTTGTGCAGCATCCCAACATTAGAGAAACCACTGGACCTACCGCCAGTGTCACATGCAAGGAAGAAGACAGCAAAGAAGTTGTGGGGGCTACAACGGAGCTGTCTGGGTGTGTATTGCTTTGTATTACCACTGATAGCATTGTTGAGTCTTTTCAGTTCCCAGATTGATTCCATTGACAGCTGCAAGACCGCACCTTATCTTCTACCTGCTTCGTCTGAGTCTGTAGCAGGTACCTTTGGCTTTGAGATGGACTAGCTATTTCTCTCTGCCTGTTTACCACCACCCATACTCTTATCAACAGCATAGTATCAAGCCATGTTACTTAGTAGTGCATTAGATTGGAGCTGTTCCTGTGCTCCGACGCTTCATCCACTTCGTCTAGTGACTTACTAGTCTAGCGACATGAAGCATTCTATTTGCAGAGCCAGACATGAAACTGAAGAGCAGAAAAATTACGAGGACCAGAGAAATTATTGAGTGACGGAGACATGCGATTACTGCAGGAATCAATTACAGAGGCCGTGAACATAAGGGCGACCTGAAGCGATATGTACGCGAACAAAGGGTCTCTGAGTGATGATGAGAAATTGCAATGGAAGGAGCTGCATGTGCGTGAATGGTATATGATACACGAGTATGATGCGAAAGAATATCCAGAGCATAGCAAGAAGACAAAGCGTTTATGACACAAAGAGGGGGCAAAAATATAGATATCACAGGAGAGGAAGGGAGTGAGGAGCATTCACTGCACGAGACACCCGCTCTTGTCGCCCTTCGCTTCGCGTCTCTTCCCGCTGTCCCGCATGGTGCCCGAGAACGTTTCACCTGTTGCGGCAAAGGACCGTGCATCCTCGGTGTCAACCATGGATACACCCGAGAACGAGGTCATTCTAGAAAGCCGGTGGTCGGTGCGCTCTCCGACAGAGACATCAGTCTCCACGATGGAGATCGCGGACCGACGCACGGTCTCGGGTCGGCTTTGGAAGCTCTCGGCCGTCACGGCGCTGCGCAGACTCGAGCTTGGCGGGGATGTGCTGCTGCTGGCGATAGAAGAGGGGCGCTCCTGGACTGGAGGAGGCGGGTTGCGTCTCAAGATTGAGGTCTTCCGAGATAAGTTCCTGGACGGGCTGGACGTGCTGGTCTGGTCAGTGTCGTTATGGTTGTTAAGGGAAGATCGGGAGCGTTTGAAAGCCTTAAGAACTTTGAAGGCCGTAGGAGGATGGTGAGGAGGCGGAGGCGAATGTGGAGGCGTAGTATAAGAAGTAACGGAGGCATCGACACTGGTCCTGGAGGACATTCCGGCATCGGACATGGGCGTTGGCGGGGTATGGAGCGCGCTATGGGCAGCAAGGAACTCGAGAGGATTGCTGAATGCACTGTTGGGAGTCCCATTCTCCGCATATTGGGCGTAGAGAAGTAGCTGGGCACGAAGGTCACAGGTGGGAGGAGCATTATGGGAACAGCGAGTGTGGCAGATGAGGCTGCACGATTCACACAGTACGGCATTCTTCTTTACACTTGAATGGCAGACGCGACAGATCACCGCTACATGAATCATGTCAGTAATCGTATCAAAAAAACTAGGCCCGAGAACTTACGCTTCGCAAAGGTCGTCTTCACAAACGTATGGTCACGGGGGGTGAGAGTATCGTGAGATAGCCGGCGAGATATAGGCGCCTGCGGCGCAATCTCAGGCGTAGAACGAGGGGTGACGCGGTCAAGCTCAGGCATCTCAACCTTGGCGAGGTATTTGATGACCTCGGACTTCTGCAGATCCGCGCTGACGCGGCGCAGGAAGGGAATGCTGTCCTGCGGGCGGATTTCCTTGTTGTGCGCAGCCCAGTTCTGCCTGAGCCACTCGTGCTCGCACAGATCCTCTGCGTTAGGGCGCATGCCGGGGTCCTTGTGAAAGCACTGGCGCAGAAAGTCCTTGAGGAGACCCGAGCTGCTATCAGGGAGCGGAGGCATATCATCTTCGACGATACGGAACATGACTATAGCATGCATAGCTCAGTAAGAATGTAATGATGCCTGAACAGTGAATGATACGCACCGGACATAGTGTTGGCAATCTCGCCGTACGGAGGACGGCCCGTCAGTAGCTCGATGACTGTGCAACCAAGCGACCAGATGTCCGACTTGGTGGAAGCGCCCTTGAGCTCGATTACCTCGGGAGCCATCCAGTTCGGCGTGCCGGCGACATCCTTCATCTCCCTCTCCATCGCGCGTAAGTTGAGAGAGACACCAAAGTCCGAGAGCTTCACGTTCCCGTTCTTCGTCGTCAAGATGTTAGCAGCCTTCAGGTCACAGTGCACGACATCGCTCTGGTGCAGGTAGTGCAGACCTTCCAGGATCTTGACGACGTAACCCGCCACGAGACGCTCATTCAGCTTGCCGAACGCCTTGAGGGTCTGGCCGAGCGAGCCGTTCTCGGCGTACCTGCCGACACACGTCAGCACATCTCACAAAACGGCGTGGCAAAATGGAACGTACTCGAGCACAATACTCAGTGTGTTTTCATCCCTAGCCATGCCCTCGTACTTGACGATGCTCGGATGTGAAAGACTCTTAACGAGATCGACCTCCTTCATGAGCTGCGAGATCTCCTCTTCCTTCAAACCATCCAAGCCGATGCGCTTAACAGCAACCATCTGACCCGTGTTCAGATTCAGCGCTCTGTATACCGCTCCGAACTGTCCTCTGCCGATGCAGTTGCCAAGTTGCTAGGAGCGTCAACAGTCGGTCAGCAGTCACGCCGACGGTTACCGCAGCACTTACAAATTGTGTCGAAAGCTTGCCGTCCTCCTTGACAATCAACGTCTGGCGGACAGCGCTGCCTTCGTTCCGGGGCATGAGATCGCTCGCACTCGCAGTGCCACTGGCGGCGCCCAAGTTGACCATGCTCTCGAACCGCGATCGACGAGGCCTCGCGCCAGAATCGTCAAACGACTGTGGGCGGGGTCGCCGCCGCGAGCTGGAGCCGTCGATCTCGCTCTGGAAGCGGCCTCTGGGCATGCGCGGACGCTCCTCTGCCAATGCACCCGACGACGTCTTCGCGACCAGGTCTGGCGAGAAGTGCACGGCCTGCGACGGGATCGGCGACGCCTCGCCCGATGCCCTCCTCGATGGGAATGGTACAGAGATTGTGTCGTCGCTAGGAGGAGGCGGGTCCTCCGAGTCGTTGCGCGGGATGTAGATGCCGTTACGATTCATAGGGCCGGCCCTCGTGCTGCTCCGCCTGAGCATGATCCTCGGGCTGCCAGAGACGCCGCTACCATCCGGACTCGAATCTCCGCGATGCAGGACGTCGGACTTGGACAACAAGCCCGGCGTGTCGACGCTGTGCCTCGACCTGTGACTTGGCCGGCGTGAGAACTGTGGTAAGGACTCGACACTCCCATTAGATCGCGATGCACCACCGAGGACAAGCTTTCGCGGCGGCGAGATGGACAGCGGCGACGCCGGCGGTGACAGTGGTCGAGGGGATTGCGATAGTGGAGATGGCGGGCGCAGGTCCTCTTCGTCCAAGAAGGCGGTGCTAGGCTCCCTCTGAGCAGGAAAAGCATCCAAGAAATCGTCCGGCCACTTGCCCTTCCCCATCCTAATCGCTGACAGCTTGGGTCTCTGCGGTGCTGGTTCCGCCGAGCCGTTGCCATTTGAACTTCGTGTCCGACTCGCTGCTTTGGCGCTCGTACTGCTATCCTCTACCTCCTCGATCACCCTCGTCAGGTCTGCAACGGCAGTCTCACTCGGCCTTCGCTCGCGCGGAGGCCTCTGTAACTCTGCACTTCGCCACCTGGACATCTCCTCTGCGAGGAACTTGGCATCAGTCTGGCTGAGCGAAGTGTTCTCCGACGGAATATACGATGTGGCCTCGGTGGTCATTGTCCTGAGCGTCCCGAACCTGCTGTTCTGCGACTCGCTGTTGCGCCTGCTCCGCAGGTCCAGAAGGCTCGAGGTGCCCGTGGTGTCCGTCATCTGGCTGGACGAAGTCGACTGGCGCATTGCTGAAGAAGGCACCAGCGAGTCTGCCAGCGAAGCACGAATGGAGTCGCCGACCGATGCCCGTGTGGAGTCGGCCACAGAGGTCCTGTCCGCCGCCACTGCTGCCTTGGGGCGCAAGGGGGTCCGAGACGGAAGTCGAGGTGCTTGATAGACATCATCTGCCTCGCTGTCGCTTGGACCTTTGGAGCTCTCCAGATGTCCCGCGGTCTTACTGCCCTCTGAGTCCGACTCGTTAGGGCTATCGGACCGCACCGTCGGTAGAGTGGGGTGAGGCGGGCTAATTCGCTTCCTCTGCCTCGGTGTGCCAAGCGTGGGTGGAGAAACGGAACGCTGTGCCGTGCCAAGATTTGGCGTCGACGCAGCTGCCCTGTTGAGGGTACCGTGACCGTACGGATTGTTCGGCGATCGATGCACTGGCGAGCCCTGACCCTGGATAAACTTCGACTTGTCGATTGATGGGAACTCCGTAACTCGTAGCAGCGCCATGATGCTCTTCGCAACGCGGGCCATAGAGTCTGGCGTACTCTCGATGAGATCATCTCGGTGAAACAACTCCTCGGGGGGAACGCCCAGGGACGAGCAGGCGGCGAGAAACTTGGTGACGTTGGACGTCCGCACAAACCCATCTTCGCGCTTGTCGACTCGGGAAATGAGACCGGGATGCAGCTTGTTTGCGAGCCTGCAGGAAAAGGGCAGAGACACGTTGAGTCGGCGACCCGTGCTGTGCTGCGGACGCCGAGGGTACAAGAATAGAGAGAAAGGACGCACTGGCAGAGTACATAACCGTCCCGCAAGGCCTCGCCGAAATGCCTTCGCTCCCGCTCCTCACCACCCGCACCCAACCCTGTTAACCCGCCAGGGCTCGCTGGACTCGGCTGACTGGTATTCACAGACCCCATCCCGCTCTTTCCCCATATCCTCTCCAACCTTGCTAACGACCGCAACCGAACCTCTACCTCTTCGTACTCCTTCGAATCCAATCCAAAATCTCGTACTTGCGATGGCGGCTTCAGCATTTCCTTGACAAGCAAACTAGACGCATTCCGCACGAGCTCGCGGTGTTCAGCTGTGGCTGCCGTTGCCAAAGACGTCGTGGAAGCGTTGACGCCGCGAAACTGTCCAAAGACAGGTGAGTAGTTGCGTTGTGAAGGCGATGGCGCACTGGGTCGTATGGATGTGGAAGGAGAAGCTGCGCGAGATGTAGCCGGTGAAACGCTCCTTCTGGGGACTTCTACGGATCGCCGTAGGACTTCGCCAGATGGTCTGCGCACTGCTGTAGGTGTGGACGAAGATAGGGGGAGATGCGAGCTTGATACCGAGGCGGACGGCTGTTGAGCTCGATGTGTCGGAGTGCGAGAAGGTGATCGATGTTGCCGTGGATTCAAGGGACCCGGGGCTGTTGATGAGCCGGGAGCGTTATCTCCCAAGGGCAGATGGCTCGTGCTTGCTGCGGCTCGCTTCGTAAGTGTCGCCGCAACGTGTCCAGCTTTCGGTGTTGGCAATGGTGGTATCAAGTCTGCCGAGCGTGGACCCGCCCGCGTTCGACTTGAAGTCGACGTGTCCCGCTGAGAATCAAGTGAAGCACGCCCTCTCGGTGTTCCGGCGTTGGCTAGTACGGTCGACACAGGTGGTGGTCTGTGCTTGGGAGCTTTGGGTTCCACCGAAGGTGAGGACGTGCCGTTGGACCGAGAATCTCGCTTCGCAGCTAGGGGAAGTGGGGTGCTGATCCCCTTTGCGTTGATGGTGCCTTTGTCATTCGCTTTCCTTAGTCGTTCCCGGGGTGGAGAGATCAAAGCTGAGACATTGGAGGACGACGCGGCGGGCAGCGCGAACGGCTGAGAGTACGGCGACGGGAAGGCCTCCGAGGCGAGATGGACGGCGGGTGAAGACATGCTTGCCTGCCGGAGCGATGGCGCCTCGAAGGGTGTATGGCCTGCCTCACGAACTTTGCCCTTGTCCCTATCTCTCTCCACTTTGTTCACTTCTACCCTGGAGCCGGATGCAGCGGGCAAGGCAGCTAATTGGGCAGTGGGTTCTTTACCACCAGGGCGGCGGAAAGAAACCTTAGATAACATGCTTGCTTTCGATCTCTCCTTCGTTACCACCACGTCCTCTGACCCTGGAGCGGCCCTCTCCTTGCCCTTGCCCGCCGAGATCGTGCCTACTTCATCCACGGATGCTTTGCTTCGCAGCCTACTCCCTGTGCGAAGGGTATTCTCAAGCGACGTGCGCAGGCGACTGAATGTTCGTTGACGGTTTTCGGATGGCGTGGGGGAGGACGGCTGGGAATTTGATGGCTGGTGCCGAGATGGAGACGCGACAGCTGCTCGACGAGAAGACGGCGCGTCTATGTTGGATGAAGGCGCCATATGAAAGGGACCGGAGATGTGCGCGCTAGGTTTCTGAGAAGGCAGGATTGCTGTGGCCATGAGCGAACGTGTCGGGGGGAACGATGCGTTTTGGGCCCGGTAATGCTAAGACTGTCGATCATGCGGGGTTGAAGAACACGAGGAGACAGAGAGAGTTCGCGAACACGATGCACGGTCAATGGAGATGCAGAGCAAGGAGTAGCGAGCCGGACACTCACCTGAGCACAGGGAACGCTATGACATACGGTGCCGACCGAGACAACTCCGACGGTTCTGAAGGAGAACTAACCAGAAGAGTCGAAGAGCAGTAGAGAATGGTCATGCAATGTGCGGGACGGTGGAGAGATTACGACAAGGCGCGAAGCGATCCGAAGAAAGTTGGATAAGCCGTTCGGAATGCGTCCTAGTGATCAGGAAACTGCGTACCACCAGAACGGTCATGCACACTTGCAAGCCAATGAGTGTCGTCGAGGTCGTTCGCGGGGGAGAGTGACCTCGTTAAGGACAAGACGAAAGGAGTGGGAGCGCAGGCTAGGAGAGGAGAGAGAAAGAGGATGCGAGGCTCTTGTTAGCGAGCACGCTGCCAAAGCCGAGAAGCGCTTCGGCTCAATTGCGGCGTCTGCTGATGGAAAGCAGATGGCTTCCTGGGAGTTATACCCGCGCGACGAGGAGGACACGACGAGTTCGAGGAGGCAAGGATGGCGGTACGAGTTGATTTAGCTAAGGCTGCCTGAGTGCTGACCAATTTTGGTGGGCCAGAACAGGGGCAGCAAAATATACACTCTCAAGCCTAAAACCGAGGGGAGGCTCGCCTCGCGAGTCGCCGATGACAAGAGACAATCTGAGCTACCGCAGCCCTCGACTCCGACAAGCCGCGATCCGACGGCACGATCCGCAGACCCAAAACCTCTGCTCTCTCCGCCTGGGAAAATCCACCACATCGAGAACTTTCTTCCCGTCCGTCGTCGCCCTCCATCCACATCAGAATCGCAGAACCTCCAGAAGCACGGACGGGTCAGCTGCGGTCATCGGTGTCTCGCGCGCCTTGCTCATTTGATCATCTCCGCCGTACGATGCTCGCCTCGGTGCGCCACATTGCGCATCCACGGCGCGTACGTCCGCGTTCGGATTTCAAAATCAATCGGGACTTGAATTGTTACCTCGCGACGGGCTATGACGAAATGTGCTATGCTATCGCTGTTTATCAGATACATGACGAGCAAAGGACATGCGCACCCCTCTTGTACTTTGCCTTCAACCGGGGCGGTGCATTTTCCCCATGATCGTTGAAACGACGCAACATTGTGGGTGAAACGACGCCGACATCGCGACAAAGCCCGGTAAGTACTAAGCAGCGAGACAGAGGCCACTACGAGAGTGATATCACGAACCTTGCCCACATCTCTCACGTCGAAGGGCGCGCGAGCAGTCTGTCACGTGAAACGTGACGCGCGCGTGCCGTTGCCCGACGCCGCGGGGTGGGCTGTGTAGCATGCCCGCCGGCGAATACTCACCGTTGGACGGTTGGAACGCCGCGCTTGCCATTCAATCGTTTGCCAGGCCCGGGGGGCGGCATGTCTCGGATGCCCACGAAACGCGTCATACATAGAATGACTCGGACGGCGTACCTGAACATCGGTCAACTTCCGGACAAACCCCACTCCGGTCAAAGGCATAGTTACTGTACAGCCCGTGCGCTGGGACCGTGCGGACAATTCAAGTCCGCGCCGTCGAGAGCTCTGCAAGTTGCGAAGCTCCGAAGCTCAGTTCCTGAAGGCTGTGGAATTATTAACAAGCTATGCAACCACTTACTGGACTTCGCCACACGCCGTCGTTGGGGAGACCTAGGCCTGTTCTGTTGTCTAAGACTGAGCAAGCATCCCGACACTGCTGTGCCAGAAACCTGTGCAATAGCATCGGTGTTTAAGGGTCTGTGGGGGCTTGACAATGTCTGATAGACCAGGCTAGAGCGCATACAATCAGTTCAAATGCAGAATCGGCGAAGCAAGACGTGGAGGTGGGAAGAGGACAGATCGTAGACGCCGGGTTGCACACTCGGCGCTACTTTCAAACTTGAGCTCAGAGAACGCCGCGTGCTGCTGAGACTAGTGTCGAAAGTCGGACCTATGCAATCTGAAAATTTCTCATGGCTTTGCGGAAGAATTTTGTGGTA